CTGTTGCCCTGTGGGGTAGTGCGCCTGCCTGGGGTTACTGGAGGTTAAGACTAGGGATTATGATTAGAGTTATCGGTAGGTTTATAAACCTACTGATAACATGTTAAGGGTATGGTTGTGGATAGGTTTAGGTAGTCAGTCCTATGGATAGGGGTTAGAGTTTAAGGTTGGTCACTCCGTCCCACGGAGTCCCACTCCTCCTCTTACGGTATACTCGAAACCCCCAAGCAGTGTTGGAGGCGTACCGGTCTGTTTTGTCTCGGTGCTGAAGCGACATCTGTCGATCAGAGGCTCGCTTTGCAGCATCTCCGACAAACTAGTCCCCGACATGCTCGCCTTGTTTTCTGAAAACATAGTAGAATTGGCGCAGTAACGTGGATAATTCGCCAGAGTGATAAGTAAGTCTCTTGATGACTTCTCGTTCCCGCCATAATCTCACATGGTCAAAAGTCCTCCGAGAAATTACTGCATTGGTCTGTCATCAAATGGCGCATGGCTTTTTCTTTTGATACTAGTATACCACAATAACGTACGGAGTCTGGGAATAACTGGTCTATGTATATCGTTCCCCTATATGAACCAATAGAGCGGACCCCTCCCCCCATGCGCCACTAGGTCATTGCCCTGAGGTACGTGTTGCCATGCACGCTTTCACAGTCAGGCTCGCGGTCTCTACCACAGTAGTGAGAGACACACTCAAGATTGCTGTCGGGCAACTAAAAATTATTGGACAGACCAATTCATCTGTCATAGTTATAGAGGTCTGTAGCCTGTAGCTGATGACATGAATCTATATCTACATTACAATAATAAATACGAACAATCATGGAGTTAGAAGGAGATGGAACAATTTTCCGGGACTCGGCAGTTGTGTGCGATATGGTCATATGATCATGACGTCATTGCCCTATTACCCGCTACTACATATATTTGCCGACAGGCCGTTGTCGTTGGACGTACATGAAAGCTCAGCTGATGATGATACAAAATTCACAAAGTCAATACGCATTTACAAAGTCAATGAATTGATGGCTTTGACAAATATACAACAAGCGTTTCCTGGTGGTTCTGTGGTTTCTACTGACTAGGTCTTTCCTTGAATGTGTGGTTTCCGTCAAAAATGTAGAATTGCAATTTTGTCCATGTCGATCAGATGTACGACATACCAGCCGCCAGGAACGTCTGACAAGTATAGAGTTGAAACTGTCCAATCGTAAACACACAGCCGACAGTTCAAACTAACTGTGAAGTGAGGACATCATTGCATTCTAGTAAAGTTACAGTCAGTTTATATGAAGATTTGGCGCAAAATAAATAATTTCATTCATTTCTACTCTGCTCTACTTCCGAGTTATGTTTTTGCGGTAAGAAAGAAGCCAATTTTGTTGGTAGCTCGAGACGGAACAATATCTGTGTTTAGGAATGTGGAAGTCGACAACTTCAACACCGGCTCAGAAACTTATTCCTGAGAAAAAGTTCTCCCGGCACGATGAACATCACTATTTTGCAGCCCTGGTTCTTCTTTATGGGACTGTACTTGAATCATTCCCAGGTCGAAGTGTATTGTTTCGGCTCCTCGTTTGTCTGTTTCGTATTCAAAGTATAACGCCCAAGGTAGTCAGATCCACCACATGCCACAGGACCCAGATTAGAACTGCTTGGTCAGTCTTGAGTCTACTTTCAGTGCCGGGTAGTCTTTTCAATGTCGGAAGGAGACCCCGTAAAATAAAGGTCACCTAAAGGCCACGGAGCATGCGCATTGTCACTGGAACGTGATCGGAAATTTCCATCACTAACGTTACACAAACTGTAAGGCTAACAAATAGTAAAGTTGACGCATTCCGTCCCCTGATGCCGACGAATGTATAATAAAAACGTAGTGCAGAAAAATGAATACATAAAGAGGGGAAATCATTTTCCACACACAGTTTAACATATCTCAATGCTCTGACAAACACAACGTCGCTCTCCTTGCATCAGTGAAACCTTTATTGGTCATACAAGTAACGGCCCCTGCGACATCAACGTTCAACGTTGTGACTACAATTTTAACGGGACATTGGATGGTTTGCAGCAGATGCGTGTGTTTCCTGTCAATCCGAGGTCCACCATATTTGCCGGGTTTGACATTATCTCCCCAAATCCGAATCATTGAACAATTTGATGTGGCTTGTGCTGTCAATCACATGGCAGCGCAGTTCCATAGATCACATGACGTTACAGACAATGTAGTATACAACAAAATATGGGATCAAAACCGGTACATTTCGTTCTTAACGTGGACAACAGTTATCTCAACAAGTCTGTAAACTCTTTTTCACCACCATTTTGAATGAGAGAGGTACGAAGTGCTACGTCTGAGGAAGGAACTCGTGACCTTTCTATGAACCCTGTAGGGAATCCGACACAGGTAGGCGGAACGCCGCGGTATGTCCAGTCTACCGCCTGTACGCGTAAGGATATCCCTCTGGGTCGGGCTGGCGGCGTATAAATTTAAAGCGAAGGATTCGGGTCTAATCCCTGACCGCTTGTGGCTGTCAAACAAACTGTAAATCAAACGTAAGGAGGTCGTGACAGGGGCTAGATTTATGGTGACCGGCGACCCCGGGACTTAGCTGTAGGACAATCTAGCTACTGAGTGTTTACACAGTACCGGGAACTGGTGCAGCGGTAGACTGATCGCATCTTTAAAAGGCTCCAGAATAGAGTGAGGGGGCCCATGCACCTGCTTGCATGCGCAGTTCCCGTACCCCGTGTAAAGCCTTCGCCGGGAAGGTTACCAGTGTTTTTAGTAGCGTTTGTATGTATGTATTTATGTTTGGGTGTGGTGTAGCACGATAACAATGCTGTAATAAGCGTTTGGCATGTATTGGAGCGTTCACTATTTTTTGCAAGTGGTTTTAGACCCAGACGTCTTACATCTACACCGTGCTTCAAAAATCTAATTTAGAATTGGCCAATAGATAATCCACCTCGTCTGACACAACAACACAGGAATTCGAACCTATTCAGTTCGTGCTGCTACCTCGTGCGCACTTCACTTGGAACTGTAGGATTGCTTGTGACAGGTAGGTCGAGGGGGCTCGCAGTAATGATTTACGGCTGTTAGGGTTGCCTACTGGAGCGGTAGGGAACACAATCAGTGCTGGCATACGCTGTAGATCAAAGGAGTACTGGTAGTGAGGCTTGGTGAATCTAGGCACGGGTCAAGGATGCCGAAACTCCCGCCAGTTGTGAGTGGGTTCAACAAAAGGACAGCTCCTCCGCGAGTACCTCTGCCACTGGTGACGGCAACAGTTGTCGGTGTTCTAGATCTGCCGCTAGGAGAAGAGTCTACACGGATTGTGTGCATTCGTGTACTTATCAATTGTTTATCGGCTGAAGTGAAGCTAATCAATCGATATCTGTTTCGCGCAGATGTTTAGAACATAGAAACCAGTTTAAACTTCTGAAAACAAGATACCTGGAAGCACCGTTCTCAATACAGCACGGCACCAGTTAAGCAGTCGTAGAAAAAGTTACAGACCATACATTGCTCTTTTTTGAAGGGCTGATATTTCTTCCCATAGGTAACATATTTGTTTCTTAAGATGAGTGACGTTTCGAATAAATCGGACGACAATTGGAAGCGCCACGCTAGATACCATGTGCTTGGGGCAGGTCTCTCTTCGCAGACAGGGGCCGGGCTGGAGCGGCTTCCGTTCGGTGCTAACTCAGGTGACCTTAACACGGCAGTTATTGCCCCAGGTGCGGCCGTGGGACTGTAAGCTTCAGTGGAACCGCTCACACAGCGGAGGACCCCTTCTGTTTACAATAGCTGTGGTGGGTTCTTTAACTTGCTCGAGGTATGTCCCCCTTCAAACCGGTTACCTCTATTTAATGTCCTATCCGAGGCACGTCGTAGGTATTCATTTTCACCTGAGTCGAGTGAGGAAAGGCACAACGTCATGTGGGGATTTGAACCCAGCCTGCCCTGTAGCGCTTTAGGAGACCTATATTCCCATAGAGCACATTCCATCAAAGTTCTGAACCCGAAATAGTTTGTGTGAAACGAGAAACGCTGGAAGTTTGATGATTGGCAAGGCTAAATGACCCTGCTATGAGATAGTGGGAGGAACTTCAGACATGGTTTAGTAGAAAAAAATAGTCGAAAACAAATAGTCGAAAACAAAATAATCATCTCATATGAAAGCTTCCACAGCTGAAAGTCTGTACCTCGGTTTGCTAATGTTTTGCGGCTGTTCTATTGGTGCCCAGGGTCAGCAGTGACAGGGACCCCAGCAGTCCAACCCCGGGTGTGTCTGGGTAAGGTTTCTTCCCATCTCCTGTTGATGCCAAATTCACAAACTTTGCTGTCAATCTTGTATCGGGTTCATTCAGAGGACAGTGAGAGCATCGTGCATCCCAGATTATGGTCTTGATATGTTGCGGAGGCGGTTGGAAGATAGCTTTTTACGTGAGGAAAATTGGTGTAGGTTTGGTCTCCCTAGGAGCTTGTTTTGGTACTGCAGGGCGTTCTCGGTAAAATCTTGACAATTCAATAAAGGAACGACGGATTTTAATGATTTTGGGCATTTAGGTAGCTTAGATAGAGATGTACACGATTAGATGCAAATCATGATGATGAGGACTTTCATACATTGGGCAACTTGTGTTATTCGGGTAGAGATCATCAACTGATATACATTTTGTATACTGTTTATATTTTGTATCGCGGAACTCTAGTTGGTTATTTGGCTATGTATGTGTGCGTCTGTTGATACCTTGTTGTGTACCAATGCTTCAATGTTGGGCGACAATATGTTAAATTATAAACATCTTCGGCTGACTAGAACTGTTTTCTGACTAGAACTGTTTTCTGTGTAAGTGAGGGAATCGTACGTCGCAAACAAAGGATAAACATATTCATATATTATATGATATCATGCAATTTATTAAATATAATACAGTAAGTACAAATATTTTTGGACTTCCTTATATCCAGAGTTGGTTAATAATATGTACACTTGGTCCCACAGAGACCTATAAACATAACATAAGGTCTTTAGTTGTACATGATAATGATTGATGTGGTTAATAATTAGTTTTGATAGAGCAGCAACTGTTTACACGTATACATATATAATCTATATACATACATATATAATCTATGCCCCACATGCTTCCGACTTTCTTGCCATCACAGTGTGGCAAGGAGCTTCATCATAGTCCTCTTGTTTTGGGGGCGTGTAACTGGCAGCAGGGGCGTTACTACCCTTACAAATTCTCGTTGCCTCTGACAGCCTGTTGTTCGTTCGCGGTTCGCATGGAGTGAATCGGACCGGGAGGCCATTGACCGGCCGTGGGACAGGTATGGTCGTCATGGCGGGCACCTTCCCGTCCGCCAGCTCCCAGCGGCACGCTCTCACCAGCTCCACGCACAGCAACTTCATGGTCAGCTTGGCGAACTCCTTCCCGACGCACGCGCGGGGCCCGCCGCCGAACGGGATGTAGTCGTGGCGCCCCCTTCTGCCTCCGTCGCTGTCGGCAGCCCACCGGTCCGGGTCGAACCGCTCAGGACTGGACACGGTGTCGGTCGACTTGTGGGTGTCCCGGATACTGTAGGTGACGGTCCAGCCTTCAGGAATCTGGAAGCCCTGTCAGTAAATGAAGCAACATATAAGAAACTCTTGGTGAGAAGAATACTTGTCATAAAATATGCCTGTCCTTCATTTTGCTTTTTCATCTAAACCCAACATCCTAGTTTTTCGTCCTTAGTCTTGAAACGACGCTATAAGTTTCCTTTTCCCCGAACAGTGACACCATTCTCTGATATCACTAGCCTTTGAACAGAAAATACATGTAACGTTACATGTATATGTATGAATTCTTCACAAAACCAAAAGTACGAAACACTTACATCTAGTTCAAATGTCTTCAGAGCCCTCCTAAAGCCTCCTCCAATAGGTGGACTGAGCCTGAGCACCTCCTTGACGACCTGCCCCACGTACGTCAGCCTGCCGACCTGCTCCAGACTCAGAGGCTGGTCCGGCTGCAGCAGCCCGTGCTTCTCCAGCTCCTCCTGCACCTTCTGAACCACCTGCGGCTGCAGCGCCAGGTGCATGATGAGGGAGGTGGCGGCGCTGGACGTGGTCTCGTGCCCGGCGAACAGCAGCTCCACCGCGGTGTCCTGGATCTCCTGGCTGCTGAGGTGGTGGCCGACATCGTGCGCCGCTAACATCATGCGGGACAGGGCGTCTGTGCCGACGTCACCGTTATCGATGTCTTGCTGCTTTATTTTGATGTGGCCTTCCAACCATTCGTCAATACTTTGTCGATACTGCAGGGCCTGGTGTCACAGAGGGATAGAAGGAAAGTGACGAAACGTACGCGCCAGTACAGGACCTACAATTCAATTAGCCATGATTTCCATATACGCCTTAAACCGATTTAATGTGCCTTGTGACATAACATATTCCAGCATGAACAAGAAAACAAATTATCTGCGGGGTTTTGCTGTCTCGTTGGGCATCTAAAATTCCTCCAAGTACATTAAAAACGACAATGAGTAGTTTTATGGTAGTTTTATAGAAGTATAAATGAAGTCATAATATGTCTTGTCATACCTTCGCCAGTCCTCCGAATGGGATCTTTATTGGGAGCGAGAAGAGGTTGTCCACCATGTTCTGAAAGAGTTCCGTGACCCTCTGGGCTTCCTCCCCGCCGCTGCGGACGCCGACCAGGGAAGCTGTTGCGCTCTGGAACGTCATCTCTCTGGTCGCCGGGTAGACGAGAACTGGCTGCCGCTGGCCGCACCACCGCGCTACGGTGTCTCGGATGACGGTCTGGGTCGACTCCAGGTACTCCTCCATAGCATCATGGTTGAAAGCCTTCATGACGATCCTTTTCCGGAAGCGGTGCTCGTCGCCGGAGTTCATGGCGAGGTTCTGTATGCCGAGGACCTCCCGGATGCTGTGCGGCCAGACCGTCGTGACGAGGGTGTTCTCGCCGTGGAGGATCTTGCGCACGTTGGCGGCGCCCCTGACGCGGACGGTCGGGCGGCCCAGGATGTGGGTCTTGTACACGTCTCCGTACAGCTCATGGCGGATTCGGCTGAAATCAGCCCCCTACAAGAGAAAGATTCCCGGATATATGTTAGAACAGAGGCAACGTAAGAATGATATATACATACATACATACGTACATACAGAATCAATCAAATAACAAGTGGACGAATCAAAACACTGCTAGACTATATACTACATTCTGGTAATCTACTATTTAAAAAAACGGCACAAACTACTCTGTTTATAGAAAATGACAACAACAAAAAAAACGACAACCAAGATCTGTTGTCTCATTCAATGATCTTGTCAAGAGTAGAATGTCTCTTACAGCTTTTCTAGACAGCAGATACAGAAAATCCTGGATGGAACAGCCAGTTTAAGAGCTAAATCTGTGCCTATTCTGCCGACAACCAATTGAGGACGGTTAGTTTCTCATTTGTCTGTTGTGGAATTTACGCTGAACAGTGTGCGCGGCTCTGAGGACAATTAGTCGGCAAGGTAATCACCAACAAATAGCATACCGCTCATGCCGGCGTTACTCACATGCGTCGCTAACGTGATAATGATATACACTGTTCTTATATGTCATATTGCATAACCCCTACTTCAATAATAGTTACTGTTCTTGATTGTATTATCTGGAGCAAGAGGTGAGTTAGCAACAGAACATAGGCTAACTGGCGCAGCAAAGTATTTGGGAAAGTTGATGCCTTGTGGTAGAACCGACTGACCTGTGTGGCGAAGGCGAGGGTTTCTCCTACAAACGGCAGCCCCATGCTCCCCTTAGGCAGGGGCAGGTCGCAGGACGGGTCCCCCTGGTTAGAGTAGTGCTTCCACAGGACCCAGAGAACCAGTACCAACATCAGGGGGACAGCTGCGTGCAGCAGACACTCAGCCAGCATCGTGCGGCAGTAACTAGGCGATTCTGAAGCGACAAGATTGTTGTTAAACATGTCTTCTCTTCTTGCTGTAACCCTTTTCAATAACGCTCCTTATATATATACACTCTTCATTGATTGAAATATAGAGGAGAGGTACAATCGGAAGTTGGTTTTGAAAACAAAAATCATCCAATAGCAGGTGCGGTCAGGAAAGCTAAGAAGTAAAGATTGGTCAACTCTGTATGGTTAGAAGGTGACGTCGTTTGCCTGTAATTTATGATTGACTGTTACGGGGTCAACCAAGGGTCGCGGTGGCAAGGTCAAAGTCACGCGCGAAGCGTCCCGTGGCACGTGCCAGTGTTTGTCGGCATGGGGAAGGAAGAGGTGCGGAGTGTTTGTTCAAAAGCAAAGGTACCTATATATTAAAAATGAGTAAAGAGAGTGTTCCGTCGGATATATGCTAGTTGATTTTAGCTATGTTTGTAGTGAATAAAACATGCGTGCCAGACATGCCCGGTTCATACAAATCGCATTGTTTATACTAAGAGTCACAGTTACTTCCCAAAGCGGCATATTTCCGGAGATACAGAGAAAGCTAGCCAGTATGTGCTGTAACTTTGGAGAGCTAACGTTCATGTATGAGTGAATGAATAGTTAGACATCAATAACCTCCGGTCTTACTGTAGTGGAACTTCCAGACAAGACAATCATCAGTTATACATGTATTTTGGTAAGGCAGTGTAAACAGTATGGTTGAGAACACACGTTTTCAAACCGCACGTTTGAAGTGAGTAAACATTAGTTTATGACCGACTCCTCAGGTCGTGCTATGGTAACAACACATGCGCAATGACAAGCAAATGCCGCGTCGTGCCTAAAAAGTTCCCCGCTTTGAAAAGTTTCTTTTGAGATTAGCCTAAAGCATTCTTCTGTGCACTGTACTGCATTTTTTTTATTGTTTGTGACTTTGAAGAACTGAGGAAGTCAACATACAGTAAAATTCTGTATGTACTGAAATACCGACATGGTTTTGCTAGGCGAGGCATATTATTAGAAAGAAGCAATGATACGATAATGTGTGCACGTTTCACAGCAGTGAATTGGTTAATTCAAGTGGACTACTGCTAAATACAAGAATGGGAGACTGACCACATTTTTGGGGAAGTTTTGGAATAAAACAAATGGAAGAAATGATACCGGGCACGGCGATAGAAAGTATACATAAATGTAGGAGTGAATATGGCAGAGAATATGGACGATTTGAGGATGACCGAGCGGGCACACCTCCAATTCCCAAGCCTTCTGTATTTGTTAAGAGCTCCATTTTCAATTGAAAACTTATATGCCCAACTCAGGCTCTCCCTTCGCCGTTTTCAATTGAGATAGCCGCTTTAATTTTCGTTAGGAGTTGTGTAACGTATCGATGATTAAATTGCATAATACATGTACAAGTGAAGCGATGATTGAAACACATGTCAACAATGAAGAAATTGCGTCACGTTACCGAAGAACACATCGTTACACACGTGAGTTTAGTTGTTTTTTTTTTCACCCCGCCACCACCACAGTGTGGCAGCTTGCCGTCCAAATGCCCTACTTCTCAACCCAGAGTTGCGCCTGTGGCACTTGAAGTTATGCGTTTGACGTCAGAGGGGCAAAAGGTATATGGAAGTTTGTGGTATGGTTCAGCCAGCGGTGAAGGATAGGGAGGGGTCACAACACATGGACGGTGGAACACCGCGCCACGGATATATCCATGTTTGCACCGGAACATGGAGCAGTCCGATAATAGAAAAACTTCATCGTCATATCGGAAATGTCAGGTTGTGTAGACAAATATTGTTCGCGGTAAATGTGCCAATGTTTGCTCCGTGCCAGCGATAGCGGCGCCGGGAAGGTCCAAGCAGCTTCCTTTCTAAGTGAGATCGTTTTAAAGGCAATTAAGGACATTGTTGATAAGAAAAGTGTATATAATAAGATACGTGTCAACATAAACGTTTGCTGTAACAATAGTACTATGGACGTCACTTGTGTTCCAAGGTTGTGGTTCCGTTGCACCCTGGCAAACCCCAACACTATAGTATGTATGTAGGCTCGCGCTGTACATGCCTGGCTCTTCGGTGGACACAAGCCAAGCTTGTTCAGATAGAGTGCGTTGTGTAGAGTAAAGGTGATTTCTAATTATATCTCAAGTCCAATATGACCCCATGGATGTGTGAAGTATATATTGTTGCACTTTTAAGACGTTTATTTCTGTATGTCAACTTCTAACATAGCTATTACGCCTTGTCTGTCTGAGACGACCATACTGTTTCTTTGAACGGAAAGTTTAGTTTTCACATCGGGTATAAGGTGAAGTAGAAGACTTTTGGCAGGTCCGAGCCAGTGGTCAGGTCCAACCGCTGCTGCCCACTCCGCTGAGTCCGTCCTACCGCGTATACCGTCTGTCCTAGATTGACAGGCTTTGCGTACGTTACTATATACGACCTGATCAGTGGTTGGGCACGGCTTGTAAATGTTATTCAAATATCTTCAGCAAAGCCTTTCACAAACTCGAGGGGCCGGATAGTGGGATGGCGAGGAATGGATGTACGGCATACTGTTTAAAACGAGACCGAAAATCCGCCGGTTCAAACATTTGAACGTGCTGCACCTTCTCTGCAGGTCGTGTGTACGGAAGCTTCCTCCCCGTTTTTCCCGGGCTGAACTCTGCCTGACCTGCCAACACAACAGTCTGCCCGCGCGGCCCGGCCCGCTGACAGGGCCGCAGACTGATTTATGACCACTCGCTACCGTGCACGCGCTCGTCTACTGACCCGCTGTAACCTCTCGTACTTATACATCGATTATCTCCTCGTTAAACAAAACTTCACAGTAAATCTTCCCCTCCTCAGTAATGTGCGGTCTGCGGCAGCGCTGTGTTTTCTAGCAAGGGGAATGCGCTAGTCAGTGCGCTACTGAAAAGACGGCCTGGATTACTGACAAGAGGCCTGCTACGCAAACCTTTCCCTGCTTCAAAAACCGATTAGAAATTGAATATTACTTAATATACATAATCACATTGCGTACAGCATTTGTGTTTTTAACCGTGACAAAACTTAACAGTAACGCGACCAGCGATATTTTGTTCGCATGAAGTCGATTAAAACAATTACAAAGTTGCAGAATCTATCTACTCCAACGTATAAAAAGCTTTCAGCGAAGAAAAACCTTTCTATTACCTAACGGTTCCATGCCGTAAGCTAGTGGCGAGAACTTTCTGAAAAATACTACATTTTTTCGATAGTGCAGAGCAATCCGTTCATTTTCTGAACTTTGTAAGCTGCGACATTAGAAATCATTAATGGAAACAAAAGAAGTAAAGAATTAAAGAAGTTTATCTGGTCAAAATTGTAATAGAAGTAGAAAAATTCTTACTAAAAGTACAAAGAAATAGTGTTGTACCTGGAGTGAAGGTCTCGGTCGGTAAATGCGGACTTGTGCAGTGTCTGTCCCGCTCTCTCTGTCCTTCTCTCCGGCCAGAAACCGGGCTTTTATATGAGTGATGGCTGTTTTGACAGAGGGGCGGGACTTGGGAAAATCTCCGACCATACTAGTCCAGGTTCCGTACGTGCCCGTGCGAGCTCGTTTTCACCCCCCGCGGAGCCGGGAAGAGGATAGCGGTGACATTGCGCTGACATTCACGACATAACTATCGACACATTCAAAAGAAGCTAGGACCATGTAATAATTTCCATTACTCATTGATCAAAAGTTTTATTTCACTTCTTTGTATGATTCTTTCCACACATCCCCCAGTCCCCGGACCCATCGGTCCGCACTGCCCCTCCCTTCACCCGTCTTGGCAACGTCACCTGCTTGGAGTCACTCAACACCACTTCGTTCACGCAAGCCTTCCTACCGGGGTCATCTGGGGGACATCGGGCCAGGAACACCTTTTTCTACCTACATAATGCAGGACTCCGTCTTCCATAATGTATACGTTGCACAGCTGTGCGACGTTAAGCAACTTTTTTTCAATAGTAGGTTAACATATCTATAAGGGCGTTGGCACATGGTGTAAGTAGATATGAGAAATTCGTGGAATTGACAGAGAACAATCTGGAGGGCGTCGAAGGTTACCGGCAGTCTGAAAGAATCGTCCCTGCAAATTGTATTTGAACTTAAGGGATGTTAAGTCTGAAGGATGTTCAATGTGCGGCAGATGTTTCTGTGTTTGTGTAGGCGGACCCCAGGATAGGGTTAGGCCGATTAATAATTCAATTAGCCCAGCCGGGCCTGTGTACTTTTGAGCCAACTACAACTGGTAGATAAGGACAACGAACTTGAAATGTTTCGAAGCTAAGACTATAAGTAAACATTACTCTCACCCTCAGATCTCTGAGACATGTAGTTCTCGGAGCCCGGCATCATGACTGAACTCTCACAGTAACTTCACATTGCAGTAAGAAGCCAACTCCACTCTTACTCTGTCAATGACGATGTTGTTTATAAGGAATTAATTGTACTTCAACTCTAGTGTTGTGCGTTCGCATAATAAGGTGACAGGCACTTCTCTCGTGTGGTGGCCAGTCTCCGGACAAGTGGACATGTAGTGACCACTTTCACTGGACCATTAATCTTGCGGCGGTCAGCTCGCGGCCTGCACCGCGCGGCCGGGATGATTAATGGCGATTTGATGGGGTGGAAATAACATCAGACTAACCATTTCGCGGTTGATGTCCAGCCACGCGCCTCTTCACTCTCGCCCACTGCACGTTATTACGGCACTCGAGCCGCCGGAAGGTTTAATCACTCCAAATGTAATTTTAAAACCCAAATTATCTTTTAAAGATACAGCATCGTACTAACTTTACGAGCCCATGGTATTTGAAATGTTATAAAATTTAAAAAAAAAGACAATTACACCGCGACATCGACTTTTGCTGTCCCAAGACCTACTCACATATTTTAATCACCACAATCCGTTCAAAAGTTCTAAGCTATTGCGACAAGCAATCCGGAAACACAAACCCGCATCAAAATCCACCCAAAACACTACCTTCCTTGATACAGAGTTTCTCCGTTCTCGGAGATAAAGATACAATCAAAGAATTCTAACCCCGTTATCAACAGACGACTGCTGCAGGAGGAATCGAACACGCTGAGACCTGATTTTGTCAGTCACGAGGCCATTTTCGGTACCATACAAAACGAACTGTTTATAGCATTTAGTTCAACCAGCGAAAGACAAGGCAAAGCCGCCGCTTGGCGCTGTCCATCACCCAAAGGTTAAACCTGGGTTATCTAGATCGCAAAGTTTGAGAAATAGACGGCTTCCGGAACAGTTCTTCAGTCGTACCCTCCAAATCACACTGCTGAAAGGATCGACCCATCACAGCACTTTGTAAGCTTCTCGGAACACCTTCCGTGGCCAAAATCGGTTGATTCCTTTCACTGGTGGAATTTGTGACCCGCAGGTGAACTTTCTGAGAATTCAGATCGACTCCATGATCTGTTCCAAACATGCCGGGGACCCCCGCGAGGAACGCCGAGCTCTTCCTCCGTACGGATGGTTCGGGGCCGGGGAGGAGGCGGTCCCCCCCGCCCCGCTGATCCCTGTCAACTGCTATAAATCACAGATAAAGAGGTCGTGGAAGGGACAAGATTTATGGCACTTTGAATCAACCGAGCAAAATACCAAGAGAAACTTGCAATTGGCTACTATGTAATTAATGTAGGCTTTCACGTTGGCCGCACTGACTTGCTCGCAAACTAGAACGGAGCACGAACGGAAGGTGTCACCGCGAATATCTACTTGCTGTTGATATACTAGCAGTCATAGAAACTCAGTAAGCGACAAGTGAGCCTTCACCTCTCAGCACAAGAATCTTTTTTTATAATGTAGCAAACACTTTTTTTTCTTTTCGCAACGGAAAAACGATGTGGGGAAAAAGGGCGTAGGCATAGTTATAGAATTCTAAAAATGATGCCATGGTGGTGCCCTTTCATATGAGAAGTTTGCCCTCATACTTTGTCCTGGAATTCCTGCAATAACTGCCTGGTTATAGCGCGCTTGTACCACGATTAGAAATCCGCAATTATAATATACACGTACGGGTACGTACGTACAAATGACGGGTTTATAAATACAAGCTATTGTCACTTTTTCTGTCACCATTAATTTACTGCGTATGTTCCCGAAGGTGTCTGCCACCGACTTTTCCTGAAGAATTTTTCTAACATTTGTTCGTGCTCCATTTGTCCGTTGACTGATGTTTCCGTAGTTTCGAGAACTAAGCGGACTAACCCTTGAATAGTTTTGGCTCTGGAACTGTCATGTTTCCGGTAATCTGGTAGACGCAGAGGTGCAATGTGTTAGTCCTGTTGCACCCGGAGCGGCATTGATGTCGATAATACCAGAGTCACGAAAACCTACTTTATCTTGACGATTAACACACACAGGTTACTACGAATGGGCGAAAGAGGAGGCATGGCATGAGATCGGTTTGTCTCCGGTCTACCGAAAGTCATCTCATCGGTAGACCGTGACGAAAGGAAAAGAGCAGGCAAATTCCAGTCCGAAAGAGCAGATTTTTTTTGTTTCACATTTCCGTGTCCTTTGGATGAACCCTGGCTAAGATTGACAGCGAAGTTTGTAAATTTGGCATCAACAGGAGGATTCAGGAAATCCAATCTGGGTCCCAGCGGGCGGGTGGTGATGAGGACCCCTGTCATCTGTGACCCCGGTCGCCACCCAAACAGCCGTAAATCATTACAAACCAGCCCGTCTGAGCTGATGGCACAGGACATTAATCAATCGCAAATGAGACTTAATGTGGACGTCTTCAGCAGTACAGCGGGACAGCTTCTCTACCCGCACCAGCGCAGAGGAGGCACCTGTTTTCCTCTGGCCTCGGGCCTCTCTTCATTCTCTGTACAAAACGTCAAATCAAACCAAATATACAATAAGCTTTACCACTTCATGATCACCAGCTATTTCTATTTACATAGTTTGTATGTTAGGTTGACTTGAGTTGCAATGATATGAAGGTAACATATTATTATCAATTTGATTCGCACTAATAACGACTTAGATTCAAGCTAGTAAAATATGGGTGTAACCATAATAAGTAAGATGCTAGTAAATGCAGAATATCTCCCTTCCCTAAACCATTCGATTCGTTTTATGAATAATCTAACGATAATTTCTGGTGAATATGGATAGTTGGCTGAAGCTACGTGTACCCGATCCAGCCATCTTGAGGAAGAAAAACAGGAAACACCAGGAAAACCGATATCTTCCATCGGATTCCACAGCAGGGGAAAGAAGGAAATACAATCAAGAAAGTTTCATGGAAGGAAACGAAGAAACACAACAACTGCCGAAACAGCACATGTAGGAGTCAGTAGAGTCGCATTACTTTCCTATTGATGCCCCATAGTGGCCTAACAGGATGTCTATGTTAGACATGTTTTGATTGAATTGTGAAAACTCAGTGGTATTGCGTGTTGCCTTCTGCATGTAGTGGCGTTTAACACAAGAAAGATGTGGTGTTAACAGAGGAAGAAATAAATATACATATCAGATACATATACATGTATATATATATTACGTCCCACCCAAATGCAGTCTCTCTCAAAATAGCCCATCTAGGTTTGGTCTCCTACACGCAAGGTGTATTCAGCAATACTTCAAGAGAGAAGAAGAATCTTTGTTGTTTTTTTGGCCTTTTGAAAAAAAGAAAATGGACAATGGTTTGGCTCAGCTTCTTGATAAAAAAAGTAGTAATTACTTAGCGATGTCGATCTTGTCTCGCAACAGTCTTACTTGCGATCCCATGGTCCATGAATCAAATGCATACTATGTGAGCCAAGAGATAGAGATATCTATAACGGACCGAGTATGCCAATTGTATGCCGTCTGTCTGATCCGCCTGTCTGTCTGATGTGGTGCCTTCCAGATCCACCCAAGGTCCACCATTGGCTTCTTCGGCCTTCACTCATCCTTATCTGCAGACCGCGAATGTATGCGAAAGTATTGGAGTAACAGTCCATACTTTCAACATTGAAAACTACCGGTGATTCCAGCAGTGTTCTAGTTTTTTGTCAAATGGAAGACTTTTGACTTCATACAAATCAATGATCACGTGCGAATACCACTGTCCGTTACGTTCTCTCACAGACTCCGACATGAGCTACTGTCTTGTAGACAATGAAGCAAAACGTGTTATGTTTCAACTTCATTCATTCAAGGATGCAAGAACTTTTTGAAGAAGGCAAAATTTCAACTATATCAGACAGTTCCCAACGTGGTATATTTGTAAACAGTCTTATGTAGTTGGTTGGAATAGATGGACTAAATATTGGAGTTGCGAAATGTGTTTTGCTTTGCCCACTCTTTCACCAGCAATGTAGAGTTACTTTATGTGCACTTTCTGACAGTGAGTGGTTAAAAGTTCTGGACATTATTTCTCGGTATTTTCAGTGGGTGCCAAACCAGTCCGGCATT